AGGGAGGGGAACCCAGCCAACAGCCAGAAGATATAGCCAAGCATTTAAGTGAAACCATCTTGAACAACCAACTCTAGTCAAGACATCAGAGATGACACCCAAAGCGGAGAGAGGAAGGGAGAGAGAGATCCTGGCTTGCCCCATTCTTTACCAGCTACCTTCTCTCAGTGTCTTCTTCCAGGGAATTCTCTGTTTCTCAAGTGTCTCCATTTGGGTTAATCAAATGGAGCAAGCTGAAGGGTAGGGGTTGGTGGAGGGGGCCTAGGAAATGCAGCCTGAAGGATGAAGTGGAACTGGAAAAATGATCCATGATCAGCACAGAGGATTAAACAAATCAAAGTGAGCATGAAGTGAGAGAAAAGCAGAGGTTTACACCTCTGTTGTGGCTCTGCAGAAGGGAGCAACAGGTATGCAGAGATAAGTCAGCCAGATGGGTTGGAGTGGCAATAATACAATGTTGACTTGAAATAAAAAGATGAGAGTATTACAAGGAATAGGGAGAAGCCTGATAAATGAAGTCTGAGTTCAAAGAGATGATTATATTTGATGAGATGTAATAATTAGTGACCCATGGGTGGTCTACAAGCATAGATTAATTTTTCCTTCCCAAACTGTGGTTTGAATATCTTCAGAGGTTTGTAGAAATGCCACAGGGATTCAACATTAAAAATGGCAATGATATCTGTTTTGATTTCTTATGTGTTCACAATCCTCTTTTATTATTATTATTATTACTATTATTATTATTATTACTGGTACTAAACCTAGGGGCATGCTACCACTGAGTTTCATTTCCAACACCCTTTAAAAAAATTGAGATAGGGTCTTCCTAAGTTGCTTGGGTCAAACTCAAACTTTCCATCCTCCTGCCTCAGCCAGTTGTGATTACAGTTGTGTGCCACTGTGCTCAGATCCAAAACTCTTTATTAGAAGTTAGGTCTACAGATTTTTTCCAAAGGTAATACATCTCTGTTTAAAGAAAAAAAAGTAGAGGTGTATAAAAATAAATATTTAATTCTGTTTTAAAAATGTTTAAATTAAATGATGGTGTGATTAGTTTTTTTCCTTTCAAAACTGATTGCTTTGCTTATACAGTGCATTGAGTAACTGGGTACACTAGTGTTTAAATTATTATATTTATATTTAGTCAATTGAATACCTCTAGCCATGGTGTTGATTTTTTTTTTTTCAGTGCTGGGCCTCACACATACTAGGCAACTACTTTTACCACTGAACCACATCCCCAGCCCTTGATTTTTTTTTTTCAAAAAATGTTTTTAGTTGCCAATGGATGTTTATTTAATTTATTTATATGTGGTGCTGAGAATCAAACCCAGTGCCTCACTCATGCTAAGCAAGTGCTCTACCATTGAGCTACAACCTCAGCCCCCATGGTGTTGATTTTGATTACTATAGAGCAAAGAGTTCTTTTTATTCTTAGGCTTCTTTAAAGTTTAATTTATTATCCATGATGGGACCTTTGATCAAGACAAAAATCAAAATGAATACTGAAGTAAAATATAAGTTAATTAAGAATGAAAAGTGATACATTCTGCTAATTTGCATCAAGTTTTGTTAATAAAATCACACTTTTATTACAGCACATCAAAATCTCTCTAGAACTTCTAAAACAAGTGGAAAAAGAGAATGAATCCCAAAATATATCCAATTCATTTTTTTTTTTTTACTTATCACAGCTAAAGATAACCCATATCTGTTTTTCTTTTTTGGTGCTGAGATTACTCAGTAGTACTCAGGAATATTCAGCCACCAAGTCACATCCCCAGCCCTCCCACTTTTAAAAAGTTGTTCTTTTATATATACATTTCAATAGAGTATATTTTGACATATTGTACATACATGGAGTATAACTTATTCTAATTAGGATTCCATTCTTGTGGTTGTACATGATGTGAAGTTTCACTGTAGTATATTCATATATGAACAGAGGAAAGTTATGTTTGATTCATTCTGTCTTTCCTATTACCATCCCTCCTTCCTTCCCTTCACTCTCTTTTATCTAATCCACTGAACTTCTATTCCTCCTTCTCTCTCCCCTTCTACTATTTCATTTAAATTTTAAAATTTTTCCTTTTTAGTTATACATAACAGTAGAAAGTATTTTGACATGTTATGCACAAATGGACTATAACTTCCCATTCTTGTGGTTGCATGAGATGTGGGGTTACTCTGGCAGTGTATTCATGTAAGAACACAGGAAAGTAAAATCCGACTCATTCTACTATCTTACCTATTCCTATCCTCCCTCCCTTCCCTTCATTCCCCTTTGTCTAATCCAAAGTAGTCTTATTCTTCCCTGCCTCCCCACTCCCCTTATTATGTGTTAGCATCTGCATATCAGAGAGAATATTTGGCCTTTGATTTTTTGGAATTTGGCTTCACCAGACCTTTTAAATTTTTTAAAAATTTGAGAGTTGCTGAGGCTGACTTAGAACTTTTGATCCTCTTGCCTCAGCCTCCTGAGCTGCTGGAATTACAGGCATGCACCACCACACTTAAGCAATAACACATATCTATTATGAGACATTTTTAGAGAAGTGCTGCCTTCGATATTTTGCATATCTTGTTTAAAAAACAAAATGTGGGTGTTGTATTGTTCCATTTATATATGATTATGAAAAGTGAAACCTAAACTCTAATGATATGCTGATCAATGGTTCCCTGGGAAGCATGTAGAAACAAAGCAGTCCAAGGGGACTTTTGGGATGATGAAGGTGCTCTGTATCATCTTGGAGGTGGTTACATTGTTAAATTCAGTAAACTATATAATTCACCATGGGTGCATTATATTGAATGCAAATTAGATAATAACACAGATTAACATGTATTAATATAATTGGGTTTATTTTTTAAAATATGCAACAATTCCAAATATGAAATTACAAATGTGGATTTTTTTGTATAAGGGCCAGGCCCAGGGCGAGGTATATGAGGTATTCAGGGCACTAGATCTAAGAAGGTGTTCACTGCCAGGTTCCTGAAAAAAACAACCCCACCCTTGTCCCTAAGAATTGGGAGGGGGGGGGCTTCACTTGCCTCACCATTTCTGATGAATTCACAGAAGGTAAAATTTCTTTCAATCTTTTAATATATTTTTCTACTTAAACACAATATTATGTGTTGTCATTAAATTTTATTTGTTGCTAAAAACAGCTTTTTTCCCTCTTGTTCTTTTTTTTTTAACAGTTCAATTTTTAAAAAATATCTATTTACTTTTTAGGTGTAGATGGATACAACATAATGCCTTTATTTTTGTGTGGTGCTGAGGATTGAACCTGGGTCCCGCCTGTGCTAGGGCAGTGCTCTACCACTGAGCCACAATCCCAGCCCTTTCTCTTGTTCTTAATCCTGGTGGGTTTTGCTGGGTTTCTTGAGTGTGAGGATTGTTCCCTTTCAGTTCTAGAAAACTCTCAACCTATCTCTTGGAATATTGCCTCTTCCTCAAATTTTCTTCTCCTGAAGCTCTGATCAGATGTGTGTCAGAACTTCTCTGTTTTTCACATCCTTTAACCTCTTTTTTTTTATATATATATATTCTCCATCATTTCTTTGTTTTTTTTCTGTATTCTGAATGAATGCCTGAATTCTCTCTTTGTTTTAACCCATGACTTATCTTTTCCTCTGAGCTTCTAATTTCAATGATTATTATTTTTACTTCAGGTTTTATTTGTTTCTTTGTCAAATCTGCCTGCTAATTTTAACACTCTCTTTATTTCTTTAAAAAAATTGCCAGGCTTGGTAGCACATGCCTGTAATCTCAGCGATTTGGGAGGCTGAGGCAGGGGGATTGTGAGTTCAAAGCCAGCCTCAGCAATTTAGCAAGGTCCTAAGCAATTCATTGAGATCCTGTCTCTAAATAAAATACAAAATAGGGCTGGGGATGTGGCTCAGTGGTTGAGTACCCCTGTGTTCAATCCCTAGTACCAAAAAAAAAAATGAAGTCTATTAAAAAATAGAGACATTCTTTATATTTTAAACATACATAATAAACTTGCACCAAATAGCAAAAATTCCATTTTGCTGTCTGACATAGAAACTCAGAAATAGAGCTTGGCACAAAGTAGGAAATCGATAAATATTAAGTTTTCAGGTTCTGTCATTTATTGTATCTGCTGACACTTGCTAATGGCGGCTTGATTCCTTGGGAAATTTTCTTTTCTTTTATTGTCAGCTCATGTTTCTTGGAATTTCATTTGGACAACTTTCTGTCCTGTGTTTAAGGTGCTTTCCTTTGGAAATTTTCTATATTTACTCTTTCCAGATACCTTGGAGGCACTAACAACCAGGGGCCATTTTAAATTAAATTCTCAGCTTGGGATTTTTATGGCTTATCCAGGTATTATGAATTCTAGTCTCAAATATACATGAAGAATAATTTGTGGTTAAGAATTTTCATGGGAAATGTCTTCATTTTCTTCACCTAAGTTCAAGCCAATATTTCTTACTACTTCTTCCAAAAGCAGGAATGAAGACTTAAGAAGGTTAGGATTATAAAACTAGAAGAAAGTGCTAGAATGAATTCAGATATTTAGAGAAATTTGAAGCCAATGTATTTCCCTTATACAAAGTGCCTTCAAGTGATGTGTATTGTGTTGACTAGTGAACCTGACTTAAATGAGGTCTAGAGTGGGTAAGTATGTTAGAATTTTCAGGAAGCCAGTCATGTCCAGCTGTTAGAATGGAACCAGAAATGGGACTGGGACAGAAGTCTGCAGATCATTACTGAGTATTTTTGGCTAATATCTCTGAGTTCACAGCAGGGTAGTAGCCTGTTGGTAGTAGCCTGTTGGTAGTAGCCTGTTGCTATTGGTCCACAGGTTAGGCTTTCAGGTAGGGATGTAGATCAGAATGAGTAGGACAAATTAGATCTTACTGGTACCTCTTTGTCCCTCTGTCTTGAGCAAACATCAACTGAGCTTAAGGGCTGCTGGTTCAGTCCCTCTCCCAGATCTCATGCAAACTTCTCGTGTGATCAACAGTAACCCAAGACTGAATGGGAAGAGATTCTGGGAAATATAGTTCCAGCTTATCGAAGCACTCATGGCATAGAACCACCAAAGAAGGTAAGAATGGATAACCCACACATGTCAGTTGCATCTCTTTACCATCTCTGAGCAGAGGATATGTAACACTTAAGGGCTCTTTAGAAGTGACTACCAGACCTTCACCTTCTCACCTCTCAATGTATACTCAGTATGGGACTTGTACATGTGGGGCTTCTAGTGTTAACAATGAATTAATTTTCCTGGGATATTGGTTGGTTTCAAAGTAAAGATGTACCATAATTTTCCATCCCTAATTTCTACAACTTTTTAAGCATCCTATTTAAAATCCTTTTGTTCCTATAACAATGGAAAGCTGTATATTCTGGAGCAGAGATATGGTAGTGAATACCTGCCATTGACTGGTGAATTCAGGAAGGCTACACAAACATGTGGGTGACTGAGGTATTTAGAGAGAAACAAGACCTTGACAAGTTAACAAGATTCCCCTGTTCTATGGTCAAAGGTCATTTGAAGCTCTTTGAAGAATAAGATCCTGTATCAGCCCACCTTTTGCTTTTTATAAAGACTCTCACAAAGATGTGACTTTAATTCAAGGTCTTCAGTTTTTTTCAAAGAACGGGTGCTAATGTAGTCTGAGGTCCACTTCATTCAGAATAGACCTCACCTGTTCCTATGAGACTACAGGGCCCGTGTGTCTCCTTTTCCTCCAGTTGAGAACATAAGAACATACCCTGAGCTGTGTCATCTGTCAATTTTCATCATTTCTGGGCAAAATTCATATTTTTGAATAATAATTATTGTATCATTTAATATTAAATATTATAATTGTTATGTACTGCAATTATAACAATTATTCCTCTTGCTCTTCCCTTTCTTTCTGATGCTCTTAGGATGTTTACCATTTGTAAAGTACTTCACAAACATCTCCCCATTTTCTGTTCATGACAGCCCTGGTAAGGAGACCTTTATCATTTCTATTTTATAGATGAGGAAATGAAAACTCAATAGAATTAAGTGATGGGCCTAGACTCTCACCATCAATGTTAGAGCTGCACTCAACTCAGGTTGTTGTTCTTTATATTTTATCATTCTTTCTATTAAAAAAAAAAATAAGACTGATTATTCCTATTTCTGACATTTGCTCACTTATACAATATGAAACTTTTTTCCTAATAGAAATTTTGAGAAAATCACCAATTTACTCAAAATTTAAGCCGGTAGGCTTAAACAGCAAATGTGACAATGACCTCCTGAATAAATTAATGAATTCAAACCCTCTTTTCATGTTTCCTTAAAAGCAATGTCTTGGGATCAATTTTCCAGGTAAATTATATAATCTCAAAAAACTGATTAAATATGGGAACATTTTCACTTCTTAAGATGGCCAGCCCACAAAGATGGGTAGAGGATATTTCCTTTTGCCCACACGAACAGAATAAAAAATGATTCGTCATGCACTGATAATTAGAGTACAAAAGAAATGTGACTATTTTTAAAGCACCATTTTTCTCTCTAAGACCCACAGCTTGCCAACCTCTTATAAAAATCCATTCACCTGATATTGAAAGCTCCTTTCCCTGCACCGAACCTCAATCTCTGACCTGAAACATAATGGCAAGTTCCAAGAAAATGATGCAGCCGCTGCCACAGTGAAAGTCTTTGTTGTTTGCACTAATCCTCACACGCAGTCATCTCTGAATAGAGAGGCAGGTGCTGCTTGATAAAAAAAAAAAAAAAAAAAAATGGTCCCCATAGTAAATGCCAGCAGCAGTCAGAGCACATTTACATTTCTGTGTTTTGTGAAGGAAATGTTAGATAAGTTTGGAATCTTGGAATATCTGTCTGCAGTTCATCACCCACTTCCCTTCCACACTGATCAATTCCAATATTTTAAAACTCTGTTATTAATTCATACAGATGAATAAGATTTAGGCTTCCCGGTAGGTGACAAAATAATGACAAAGAAAATAACCATTGTATATTTCAACTAATGCTCTGGATTTAGAATTAAAGACTGGGCTTGAAGATTCCCATTTCTTATTATTTAGAAAGATTCTCTGGAGTTGCTCTTTGCAGATACAGCAAATTCATTGACAGGATTAAAAAAATTTGGAGCTGGATTTTAGATGAAAGTGTTGCGGTCTGCATATCAATGCCAGCTACAAATCAGCACAAACAATTGTTCCGTCATTAGCAAAGCCTGTGAACAGGAGCAGTCCTAATATTAAGCCTTCTGGCGCTCTCATTGGATTTGTTGGACTTGATTGCATCCCGTTACATTTACAATCTGTTTCGTGTTATCGGCACATAGACTGACAGACTTTTAAATTCACATTTAGAAAATTTGAGAGCAGTTTAAAAAAAAATTTCCCGAAAGAGTAATATATCAGCAGCAATGATTTACACTGACAATAAATAAAATTTAGCCACTGGAAAAAATAATATGATCCATTTAATTCTAGGAATCTTAGAAAATGAGTACTAGATTTTGTTAAGGTTTTATCTGTGACTTTGGGCATGTGGAGTTAACTCTCTATACCATAGTTATTTTAAATAACTAGGCCATTATATGTACTTCTACCTATACTAGTATAAATAAAATAGGCAAGAATTAATATGTTCCAGGGCTTTGGTCCTCTGAGATGAAAGGAGCTATGGGAATGCAAAGACCTATTAAAATTGTGATTTCCAAATGTTATTATCATTCAGCTCAGACGTATGAAGTAGCTAGTTTCATGCACAGTAAAAATAATAATGAGGATGAATTCCTATTTAATGAGTATTTATCATGTGCTGGCCATGTGGCAACTATTTTACATTTGCTCTTGCTTTTAATTCTCACAATAACACTATTATTATCTCTGTTTTACATACAAAGAAACCATATTTGGAGAGGTTAGTTAACTTGTTCAAGGTCACACAGCTCCAGGGTCACAAACAGGATTCAAAAGAAGGTTAATCTGTCTCGAAAGTCTGTGATTTTTACCACAATGTAAACCTTGAAGGTCATTGTCAAGGTCGTATTGCCTGAAGTTACCTTTCCTGACCTGTTTCCCAAATCATATGCACTCTTTACATTTATGCTTCTGATAGTCATTTCTGCATGTAGTGGGAAAATCCTGAGGTAAGGATTTCCTGCTGATTCCTATAACCTACCTCTATTGTTTGCCAAGGAAAAAGCTCAACAAATAGAGTTTTAGAGATTTTACAAAACTTTTCCAGTAAGATATAGGTCCTATGGGATAAAAATAAAAGAACGTGTTTTCCCCTCTCTAGTATTCTAAGTTGTTAAATCAGAATAATTGGAGAATTATCAGAACCATGAACTAAGTTGTTAGTCTTTTTCTTATTTGGCTCACCATATATAGCTGCATATGACATTTAGGCCTACTTCTTGTTGATTTGGGATGAGACAATTTAGATGTGATAGTTGCCCTCAAGGAATTTACAATTGGGAGAAAGAGGTTTATTAACAACTCACTGTTTAAAACAATATGTTATTAATAAAGGTAGAAATAAAATTCATTATACATTAAAAAAATTTTAACACCAAAAATTTTTTTTTGTGGGAAATAAAGTTATTTCTTTTCTTTTTTTTATTAAATTATTTATTTATTCTAATTTGTTATACACGATGGCAGAATGCAATTCATTTCCTATTATATAAATAGAGCACAATTTTTCAAGTCATTGATTGTACACAAAGTATTTTCACACCATTCGTGTCTTCAAACATGTACTTGGGGTAATGATGTACTCATTCCACCATCATTCTTACCCCCTAGCCCCTTCCCTTTCCTTCCCTCCCCTTTGGAGTTGGAGAATATCATGCTAAGTGAAGTAAGCCAATCCCAAAAAACCAAAGGCCGAATGTTTTCTTTGATATGAGGATGCTGACTCATAATGGCAAGGAATAACTCCTCCAATGTTAAAGCATGGGAGGAATGGAATAAAATTATTTCAAATTGAAAATTTCTTGAATTCTTGAATTAAAATACACTTTACAGACAAAGTTCTGAAAAAAAATAATCATTTCTGATAAACTGGATTACCATGGATGATATTTACCTCTATAAACCTTGATTTTTTTAAATATTTGAGATGTAATAATTACTACTCTAAAGAGTTATGAGGATGCAGAGAACATTTATAAAGTGCTTAAATAGTAGACACAGAACAGCATAGGTTGGCTTTATCCTACTTCCTGCCACAAACCCTATTTTTCTTCTTTCTGATGAACAAATAGGCAAGAAATATTTGAGTTATTAATAATAGTTGTAAAGCAGAACACATTTGGCCATATCTATAGGTAATAAGTGCATCCTGTTCCCTTCCTTGAGCTCTTTAATATTTAAAGTGCTTAACCCTGATTTTAATGAGAAGTAGGGGTTGTTGTAAATGCTGAGTAGGGGATAGCAGCCTCCTTGTCTATCTGTCAACCCAGGAAATAAGAGGCACTGTATTTCTTTGAAGGACACTCTGGAGCTCTCCTTATTATTTTCCTATTCTTTGCAATGAACATATAACTTCACAGTTACCAAGGATCTACTCTGTAGAGAGCTGAGGTAGGCTTTTCTATGTATCTCCACTTCTGGTTCTTCTACCAACTTATGAGCATAAGTTGTGGAAATGGGAGCAGTACAGAGTTATAAATTGTATGAACCAGGATCACAAACTTTGTTTCTTCTTTTCAGGTGTCAATTTCTCACTGTGATCAGAAGGTCCTCCCTACACCTGCTGCCCCCAACTTTCATCTTTCACAAGAGTTTTCCCCAATAAATATCTCCCATGTGTATCTTGTCTTGCCATCTGTATCTGGGTTGACCTGAAATGACACAGTTGATGCCAAATGTGTTCTCATAAATCAGGTGGTAAGATAGGGCTTGGGCCTGGCTTACTCCACTGCCTGACAGGCAAAGAGGACCACATCTTGAGAGGAAAGTTGGGCCTAGATAATCCCCGTGGCAAGGCGGTAGTCCAGTTGTTGGATGTTTCACCCATGGTGACATACAGAAACATCTCCATGGAGAACACACGTGTAGGTGTAGTGATTCAGGGATTTGAAATATATTGGAGTGGGGAGCACAATGACAGAAGAGTTGGCTTATTATTACTGCTATATTGATGCTTTGCAGTGGGATAATGAGAAAATGAGTGAGGATCATTAACAAATAAACCTGAAGCTTGAGAGCCAGAGCAACTCTTTGGTAGTTTACAAAGAGGTCCTTATCTCCTGAAGTTAAATACTGAATAGACAGAATAGTGAAAAACAGACTCAGGCCATGATAAATAGAGTTCCAGATGCTCCAGAGATATGTAGATATTCAACCAAGGCAAGTCTCTTATGGATCCTGGTTGGGAATATCTAAGATCTTAAAACACAAAATGGAAACATCTGGGGTGATGTCGCTGGAGGATTTTGTTCTCCAGATATCCCTGAATATTTAAAGGTTACAGGGTATTATATCCCTCCAGAGTAAGAGTTGCCAATCCCTGGGTGTGGGAGGTAAATCTGATGAGGTTCAGGAATCTGCCATATCAGTGCAGTATTTGAAGCTACAATGGTTAGGAGTATGATGGAATAACTCCTCCAACGTGAAAGTTAAATTGCTGCTTCTTGCATCCTGACCACAAGGCACTGGTACATACACCTGGTTATACAGCAGCTTTGAGTGGGTATCACAGCTGGAAAGGTCTCTGTAATAGATCTAGGATATATTGGGGTCTGGGTTCTATTGCTATCAATCCATCAGACCCTGTAGTTTTTGGAGATGTAAAATGGTAGGGAAAGATGGGGTTTGGAGTTTATGGCAACCTCCAGTGGGAGAGTCTTAAGGCAGGACTTTGAGATTCTGGAGTAAGACCATGCCATGCCATCTTTTGGAAAAACAGGTCTTGGAGCAATATTGAATCCTACTAGAGATGGAACGCTTGACCATGGGTGCCAATTGGGTCACCATTATGAGTTAATTTCTGTTGGATTGGCCAAGTCATAAATATGGAGAGGATTAGCAGCAATCTATCATTAGTTGGAAATGTACATCTAGAAATGTCACATAAAATGACTGAGATTACACATAAGTGGCATGAACAGAGAACCCAGAAATGCAGGTCACCCACTATAGTCACTTCAGTGATGCTCAAAGAGACTACACATGTGTGTCTGTGGGAGGGTCCTGTCCAATCAGCTGAAGGAGACAGCAAAAACCTGAGCTTGGTTTATGAACAGGTTAGTTCAGGATATGGAAAAGGAAGGTGACTTGTGACAAGTATATTTATCCTAGCTACAATCTATTAATTACAATATGACTGTAAAAGCAGATTTTTTTAAGCCTAAATATGTCTCCATTTTTTTTTGAAGTTTCCCCACTGAGAGTAGAATTTTAAAATGTTCATGAAACTTATAAATTATTTGGGCTACAGTTAAATATTCTCATACTTTTTAATCCCTGACCATCTAATTTAGGATAATAAAGTTTTTAGACTTATACTTAAATATTTCCATCTGCCCAGCAACTGGAGTCCATCTGGAATAATGTATTTTGATCAAATTGTACGGGTAACTCAGACCAGGATCACTCATCTGAAGAGAAAATGGTTGTATTTCTTAGGTTTCACACATGAGCAAATTGATCTATAGCTGTGAAATGAATAATAGTATTATTTGACTATCCAGATAAATGAAAGTCTTGGAAATTACATAGTTGAATATTTTGCATTATTATTGCTATTTTCTCTGAATTTTTCTTTGGGAGGGCCATTTTACTTAGAATTTTTCTTTACTTTCACCTTTTTTACACAAAAAAAGATCCTTGTGTTGATATAGGGTTGGTCAGCAGCTCTGTTAATGCTACACGGGTGTGATGATAAGTAAAACACTCTTCAGAGGAATTCATAAGCTTGACGTCAAGCAGTGCCTTTCTAATTATTGACTGAATCTGTCTCCAAATGCAATCGCTTGACAATATGGGATACAGGGTAACTGGATAATCTTAGATGCAGTTTTATTTCATTCCCAGTCCATATGGAGACATGGGCCAAGCTCTGGAATCTAAATGACCTGTGTTTGACATGACTCCTTCACTGTATGAACTTCTGTAAGTCATTCAGTTGGTTTGTGCCTCAGTTTCCTCATCTGTAAGATGAGAAGGTTAGAGTAGGTTGTCTTTGTGTCTTCTCCCAGCCTTGATTTTAAATTTCTAGAAACAGATCTTTGAATCCAATTAAGACTGCCTAAAATGAGTATCTACTGCCTCAAAATTTCTTCTTAAATGGTTTCTTACAATTCTGTTTGAAGGTTAAATAGATGATATATGTATCATGACAATCTTTTATCAATTGTGCTAAGTCTTCATTATTAATTTGTTATTCTCTCTTCAACAAGATGACATTAAAATGTCCCATTGCAATATTCAGAATTTTTTTTTTCTGGTAGAGTCAGACCTTGAGAGATATTGATCATACTTTAAAAACTCAATTATCTTAATAGATGACACATACCATCATTTACATAGCACATATAATACTGAAATTCCTTAAAGACTTCCCGTATGCAGTGTGCTGCATTCTCTGTCCTTCCCCATCTACTGATTAGTGGTCCCATTTCAAGATTTATTCAAGCATTTAAAAAATCCATTTACATTTCTGATATTTTTGAAGTTCATAAATTCATTACACAGAGTTAGCGTTTCCTGGTATTTATTTATAACTCCCTCATTCATATCATCCTAATATTGTCTGTGTTCCCCATATCTATTGATAGGATCATATTTTTAAAAAATCCTCACACTGCTGATAAATAAACTTCTTTTGAAAATACATCATGGAAGAAATAAATATCACAGGAGGACTGGACTTGGAAATCTTGAAGAATTATATGAATAGTTTCGATGCAACATGCATGGATTACATGCAAGAAGGGAATGTGCTGTCATCTTTGTAACTCTACTGCTTATAACATTGCCTGTCCTAGAGCAAATACTCAGTAGATATTTGCTGAGTAAATGAAGGGAACAATTTGAACACATTTTTTTTTAAAGACCAATGCAGATGGTGACGATGAGACAAAAAGATTATCTCAGATATTTCCTAGCAAGCAAATGTCCTCACATCCCTCTCTTAATTTTGGAGATTTTATCATGTCTAGTGACAATATTGTGGATTAAGATCTGAAAACCGTTTCATTGGTTATGAGGCACCGAAAGTATGATAATTAGTACAATCTGGATGCTCACTCTTCCTGTTGGAATTCTATTGGTATTATTATCTCATTTTGTTTATCTATTTGTTTCTCATAACAGCACTCCCATCCTGGCACTTCAGTAGAAAGCTTCACTTGTTATGGTTGCTTTACAGTTGATTCCATCCCCTGACTTCCTGTTTTCACAATTTGCCAGCCAATCAAATATATCTGTGGTTTTAAAGCACGTGTCAACTGAATAGATATCAAGAATAAAACGCACGTATACATCCCCAAAGACCTCTGTTAAAATCAGCGAGATTGCACAAGGCAGGAACCTTGGATAGCATTTTAGCAGAAGAAAATTGTCAGAAATTAGTTCATTCAGTGTAGTATCCCGGCTTTAATAAGCCATTTCTTATCTCTTTTGGCCAGTGAACAACTTTTAATTGGTAAGGGTCCAAAGTAAGGCAAACAAATGCAAGGAGGTCTGTCTGCCAGGCTTTATACATCAGCAAGATAGCCCTATCGTCCATCAACCAACAGCCTTCAAGTTGACAACAGGAAAAATGTGACTCAGCTTATACAAAAGGGGAAGTCCCAGCGTTGGTCTCAAACAATGGGCCTGTCATTTTATTGCTTTGCTAGTCTGTCTTTCTTATTTTGAAGATATGCAGGGGGCTGAGAACTCTGTATTCTCTGGGTCCTAGACAGGGACAGTGAATTTAATATAGAGGGAGAGGTATTATTCAAGGGTGGAAGCTGAACAGAGGAAACAATGGGAAATTTGTGGCCAGGCTGCTGAAATGATACCTTAAATTCAGGAGCACCTCATTTGGGAATGGAAACAGGATAGGCCAAGCAAAAGCAGCATAAAATCCTCCTTAGAAGGCTGAGGCTAGTGAATAAATACAATACATGAGGCAGTCTATGAGAGATTTGCTTATTTTTTCCTTGTGGATTTGCATATCTGCAATTCTCGCTGCAGAAAAATCCAGTAATGACAACCTGTTCATTGATACAAAAACATTGCAAACATGAGGCTGAACACTGGTACATATGGTTCACATGTTATGTGTTCATTTAAGCTTTAGAGGAAGTTGTACTCCTCCTACATACATGAAGAAAACATGTATTTCTCTGGCAACAAATTCCATCTTACATAAAATAACATCACCAACACCAGATGGACAGGTCTCATTGTGGAGCCAAGAGCAGAAATAGCATGGTCTCCAAATGAGTCACTCCACGAAGTCCTGTTGTCTCCATCAGTCTGACCACTGTCATCCTTTGTGCTCTGACGTTGTTCTTAGTGGCTCCCTCAAGACTTCATTGTTTCCAGTTCTTCTTTACTGATTTTTGTGAAGTCTCCATCCCCCTTCCTCTTTCCTGAATAGTGATAGTGTGGTAAATGTCAGTGAAACAGACCTATTAACAGGAACCAGAAGGAGGGGCTCAATGTTGCTGGGGTTTTAGAGTTTTATGGGAAAGACAGTGACAATCATGAAACAATATCATCAGTAAGAACATGACTCTTCTTAAGTTTCACCCTTTAGAAGCCACTAGAAAAAAAGTTTATTTTTGATTGAATTGTGTCTAGCGGATGACAAGCTTGT